CCGCGGGGGGGGGGCCCCCCCAGCCAATCGGCCCAGCCAGTTCCCACATGGGTCTATGATGTCAAAGGCTTCAGAGGCTAATCAGGAGCCAGAGAAGCTGGAGGATAAACAGAAGTGAGCTTGGGGTAGGGGAGGGAATAGCTTGGGCAGGCTGGGATTTGTAGTCCACCCCACCCCCCAGCACCTGCCTCTTGGGGCAGCTCCCAGAGTTCCAGAGTTAGTTTATTGGCAGCCGTAGGCTGCACAGACTGGGGCTCTCAAGTCCCCCCTCCCGCTTTTTTCAAGCATCCTTCCCTACTCCGTTGTGAGTTGCTGTCACCGCCCAAGGCAGCATCCTGCTTAGACAGACTGGGGACCGGATCACTGCTTCCCAGCCTTTGGGCGAAGGCAGCGCGGACCACTCGCTCACCCCCAGGGCCTGGCGTAGGCCGACTTCGACTTCTCTATTGGGGGAGCTCCAGGCAAGCCAATGGGGCCGTGTGGGGAGCAGCAAATTCCACCCCTTCAGGGGCTTGCATTTTTGCAGGGGCAGCAACATGCCTGTGCTCCCCCAAACTATGCCCCTGGGGCATGTGTATCCTTCTGGAGTAAGGCGGTGGGGGCAACTAGGAGCTCTTGGCTCATGCCTCAGCTTCCCTGGCTGCAAAAGGAGGAGAAGGATCCTGACCCTCTTTGTAAAGTGACGGGAGAGATGCAGCTGGAAAGTGCTAGATAAGAGCTAGGGATTATGATTTATTGACAGGGACCAGGGTCCTTAATCTCCTCCCTAGCTTGCCCCCTGATGGGCAGATCTTTGGGGTCAGGGCTGTCCTTGCTCCATGCCTGCACCAGCTGTCCTCCCCTCCTCCCCCTTGGCAAGCAAATTAATGCCCTGATCTTCAACCCCTGGCTGTTCCAGCCACCCCAAAGTGCAGAGCAACTACAAACTACATTGCCCACAAGCTCCTGCGCCTAGCTCCTCTGCCCTGTCAATCAAAGTAACGTGGGGCCCTGCTCCCTCCTCACCACCCCACCCGAAGTGGCTGGCTGGTATAATTACAGCACATTGATCTAACTGAGCAAGGCTTTCCTGCTGGCCATGAATCAGGCTTTCCAGAGAGGAGCACATATCTTTAACACAGCAGCACCTTCCATCACCATGGGGGCCACCTTTGGGGGACGCCGTCGGAGCAGCCGGCTCCTGAGAACACTGCAAATTCCAGCCCCCGCTGCTGGGCCATCACAGCCCAAATTCCACTCAGCAGCAAAGCTTGTCCCATTTGCAGGGATGTTAACAAATTTGTATCCCTAGGAGGGTGGGGGAGCACTGGGCTGGGTTCCCTGGGGAGGGGGTGGAATCTCCATCCCTAGAGGGGGGGACGCCGTCGGAGCAGCCGGCTCCTGAGAACACTGCAAATTCCAGCCCCCGCTGCTGGGCCATCACAGCCCAAATTCCACTCAGCAGCAAAGCTTGTCCCATTTGCAGGGATGTTAACAAATTTGTATCCCTAGGAGGGTGGGGGAGCACTGGGCTGGGTTCCCTGGGGAGGGGGTGGAATCTCCATCCCTAGAGGTTTTTAAGCCCTGGCTTGACAAAGCCCTGGCTGGGATGATTGAGTTGGGATGGGTCCTGTTTTAGTAGGGACTTGGACTCGACCTCCTGAGGTCTCTCTCTTCCAGCCCTTTGATTCTATGATCCTCAAGTTGCTTGGCTCATAAGAACAGCGTCTCCCCCTCTGCCCAGCCCAGAAAATAAAAAAAGTCCTTTCCTCTCAGCAAAATGCAGGACTATGTAGCACTTTAAAGACTAACAAGATGGTTTATTAGATGATGAGCTTTTGCGGGCCAGACCCACTTCCTCAAAGCTCATCATCTAATAAACCATCTTGGTAGTCTGTAAAGTGCTACATTGTCCTGCATTTTGCTTCAGCTACCCCAGACTAACACGGCTCCATTTCTATCACTTTCCTCTCAGGATTGTGTAGCGTGCTATGGGCCAGCGTCTGTGCTACACCCCAGAGGTGGCTGTGTTTGTGTGGCTGCTGTAGTTGTGAAGCATGGTTGTTGGACAGTGGTGGCCCTTAGCAGTGCCAGTTTGATATCAGTGTTAGGAGGCAGCCAGAGGTCTCCTGAGTCCTCTTCTGGGCACTGCCACCAATTTGCTAATCTCCTTTGGTGTGTCCCTTTGCCTCAATTTCCCCAGCTGTGAAAAGAAGATAATATGGATGCACTGAGAGTGGCAGATGTGCTGCATGACGATTATTCACTGGGTTTCAGCAGGCCTTGTTTTTCCATCAAGGACAGAGACAAGGGTGTGAGGGGTAACCCTATGGAAACAAAAACCAAACAAACCCCAAAGTGCTAGAATTTTGGCCAAAAAATTCCAAAGGATGATTTCATCTGTTTTGCATGTTTCGCTGCAAACCTAAATGCTGCAATTAGGAAAATGGCTCCCGTAAGGCAGCAACTGCGTGGGACGTATTGTCGACACCGTCCCCCCAAACGCTCCTGACCACAGTAAATTCCCAGGATTTCAGGGTATTAACCACACTTGGCTTGGCACCCAGCTAATACGCAACAAACCTTTTACTGCCACTGCTAACCAACCGCGGAATTCCTGAGGATGGCTGTCCAATTAAAACTGTGTTCAGGGCTCAAAAGCGGGGCTGATACGGAAACGCACAGGGCTGTCAAAGCCCTGCCGCTCCCTGCTCCTCTCCGCCAGTTTCAGCTCTTGGAATAACAAAACTCCACTCTTGCCTAAAGCCCTTTGGCAGGGGAGCACTTGAATCAATTAAGCGTTGCAGCACCCATGGGAGGCAGGGAAGGACTACTACTCTTCCTGGGTACATGAGGCAGTGAGTGAGTGAGGAGTAGAGCTCAGGACAGAACCCAAGAGGCCCCCATGTTCTAACCACTAGACAATACTGCTTCCCTCCCAGAGCTAGAAATAAAATGAACCCAGGAGTCCTGGCTCTCTGCCTTTCTGTTCTAATCACTAAACCCACTCTCTTCCCAGAGCTGGAAAGAGAAAGGGCCCAGGAGT